TTATCTTTTCATTTGTCGTGAAATTTCTGTAATTATTATTATTTTCTAAATTTACGCGCAAACACACATAAATACATAAAAATGGTTTTCAACGCGATTCGCAAGGCTACGTTTGACCAGCCGTTTGCCGTTTGGGGCCTGGCACTTGGATTCACAGGTACGACATTCGAAAAAGAAATAAACTGAGGGGAGGAATTAAAGGGTGAAATCGATTCTGACTGGCGGAAGTGAAGAGCAATGAGCAATGGACAATGAACAATGTACAATAGGCAATTTGGCACTAGCAAAGTCGACAAAAGAAGAAATATAAATATTACTGAGATGCTGACAAAATGAATTGTTTTTCTACATTTGTAATGTTTGTAGGACCGCTGCTGATGCTGACTGTGCCTCCTCTTCGGCAGAAGCTGGGATACCAGGCGCCTAACGCTATCCCTGAGAACTATCCTTGTAAGTACAAATAACTTGACTGTAATGCTGTCTTTTTGTTTACATTGCTTTATTCTGGCACGTGTATATTTATGCTGAAAGAAAAGCCTTGAATATTTTTTGCTTATCTGTTTTTGTCTGTTTGTAGTGCCGAACCGTGCTAGACGCGCCACCTCGGGCTTTGAGGACTAAGTGGATGGTACGCGAAAACAGTGCGGTCTGGTTTTTTTTGGTAACCAGAGGCTGTGCGTGAGAACGAATCATACTATTTTATTACAATCGAATTTTTTCTTCTGCTTTCCTTTAGTCAGTACATTTTCATCTTTAGCAACAATAATTACCAAATGATAAAGTGACAAAGTGGCAGAACGGCACTTGAGAAGAGAGGGTGGGACTTGGATGCATGCTGCATATAACAGATGAAATGACATTCTTGTTTGTTGGGATATCAGATATGCAATACACTATTTAAAATGGATGTTGGAATTTCCAGACATTTATAGCGAAAGTCCAGATTTTTAAGCGGGGAATTTTTAAACCCCGTTTCTTGCGCAAGATACCGTTTGAGTCGGCTGAAGCTGAGTGAGTCTACAGCGACACCCGAGACTTTGCTCAAGCCCAATCCTAAGCCCAAGTGGGTGTGCAAGAATCAATCTGACCCTGCTTCTTCTCTTCAAAAGAAGCAGCGAACTGATTAGTATCGTCAACCATAGTGGTCTATTGCCACTAGTTTCTAAACACTTTGTCTGGGGGGAAGGATGTCGGTTTGAAGCATATTTGCAGCCTCATTATTTTATTTTAGTGTAAGACATACGAAAAAAGAAATTATAATAAAATTATATAGGCACTAAAAGAAATAAACATGAGAAGACAGTTACCCTTGACTCTGTTCTTTCTCAGGCCCACTTGCCGATCAGCGCCATGATACCAGCACCGATGAAGCAAGTGATAAAGCAGGCCGCCTTCATGGCCGGGCGGAAGTTGCGGAACTCAATCGTGCTAAACTCCTCAGCTAGCAAATTGACAAGACCAGCGTAAAGCAGAATACCTGCGGACAGCGAGTCCAGCACGCCCATGGTGATCAACGCACTGGGCGAATTAGGCTGATATGAGTACCGCACGCCCACACCAATGACCATCCCAAGCGGCGTAATCAGCATGAACACAGCGGCATTCAACGCAGCGCGCAAAAATCCATGGCTCTTGTACTCCATCTGCGCAATGCGGCTGCCGAGCGCTAAGCCCTCGCAGAACTGGTGGAAGCAAATGGCCACTAGCAGCGTCTTAAAGCTGGTGCCCGTGGTCACCGACAATGTCAGCCCAATAATGACCGAGTGTAGGCAGATACCGAGCTCGAGGATGTATGTTGAGATGCGGTGCCGCTGTGCTGTGAGCGCGGCGCTCTCGCCGGCTGTTGGGATGAAGGACAGTCCGTGGACGTGTGTGTGGTGGGTGTGCACGGCGACTGCGTCGCAGTTCTCATCGTCGCCGTCGCGGGAAAGCTCAGGCAGGCTGGTGCTGAGGGATACCTTGCGCGCGTGCGAGTGATGGTCTGACGCTGAGACTGACTCTGTGCGGCTACTGCTGGTCCTGAGCGCATCAGTGGTCTGGGCCTCCAGGTCATGGCCGTGGCTATGGCCGAGGGTCTCGGTGGTAGGCAGACTGTGCGAATGCGAGTGCGATCCCATTGTGTGGTTCGACAGGAGGAACTCCATCAGGTGCATGGCGAAAATCGCCATCATCGCGAGCACGCCCGGCCAAGAGCTATAGTCGCCCATACGGCTGCCAACGCACTTGCTGTTGAGGCTGCCAATAGCCGACGGCAGCATATGAATGAGCGCCGTTGAGATGATGACACCGGTGCCCAGGTACTTGCCCAGCGTCAACGCAGTCTTGGGGATGCGCAGTACGGGCAAGTAGTGGCCGACGACCGGCAGGAAGGATCCGAGGCCGCTGACGGCCATGACGATGAAGATGGCCGCAATATGCAGGCCCTTTTCCCAGTTGTCGATGCCTGTGGCGCTGCAGTCAACGTCCTCGTCGTCGTCACCGCCGTGGCTATGCCCGGCGTGATCGTCTGCCCGCCGGAACTTGTGCTGTGAGAATGTTGCGGCTGTCGTGGCTTGGGTGCCGGCAAGCACCAGAAGAAGCAGCGGCATAAGCACCCTTGATGTAGCTTGTGCCTTGAACATATTTTTTATGGCTTGGAAAACTATTGTTGGTTGCTGTGCTTAAAATGCAGACGTATGGATATGTGTGATTACTTGGGCTCTATATACAAACTGATTAAACTAAAAAAATATATAAAGTGATATCAATTGACCTCCCCGAACCTCTTTTGCTAATAGAGCGGATATAAAAAACAGAGCAGCAGAAAAATAGAGGATTTAGTGGTGCATAATGTGTAGGGTACTCGTTGAGTGAAAAAAATTTATCGGTGTGGCAAAAACGATTTATTTTATAGCTGCTTCACAAGAAAGAAGCGAGAGGACAGCCAAGACAACCGAAAGGGTCGCTGTTATTCCTTCCAACAATCTCCCTCTCTTTTTTTCTTCCCACTCTTGCTTTCTTTTTTTTCTTTGGGGTGTTTGTAAGAAAAAAATTCATTGCGAAAAGGGCGAAAAAGGAAATACAAGAAAATATTCCACCCATTTCAGATACTTTCTGTTTTTGCTCCTATAATGGCAGATACAACACCAACAACACCAATACAGTGTTTTTTTACTTTGCAGACTCATCAACTGCAGCAAACCTGCTCTTTTTTTTATCGCATGGAAGAAAATTTTATTCGTTGATCTGCAACGTCTTGCAAATCCCCAAACACTGAAAAAGAAAAACAATGTAGATACAACCGACAGGGTACACACGCCTATCCTTTTTATTTTTTATTTCTTGAGTTGCTCTCAGGGTATTTTTCTCTAAAACGCGCCATTCGCTTAGCATACCATTCCGTGTCATGCCATTCCATCCCATGCTAAGAAATTGAATGGAACAGACAAAAAGAACAAATGGATTAATGACCTTTGACCGCAAACTCCACCTAGCAGTCGAATGATAATGCGAAATAAAGAGGAGGCGAATAATAAAATATGCGTTTATGTGCGCTACGACATGGCTGCAATATCGGCACAGATAATGGCTGTGAATGTTTCTTTCCTTCGTTGTGGTTTTGCAAACAACCAAGCAAAAAAAGTAGTTCATTCACTTTCGTTTTTTCTATCTCGCCCGCTACCCTTATCCACTATTCCTTACTTTCTACATTTATTCATTCATTTGTTTGTTTGTCCGAATGTTTAAAATAGGAAGGGATTGCACAAATTTAAACTGGTAAATCGCCATTATTGAAAATTTTAAATGGTAATGAGGGGCGTGTGCATCACCGTTGGGGTACCCTCTCCTGTGCCCAAAATAACCAAAAAGGAATACAAACAGAAAATTATCCAAGACGCTATCTCCGATGCTTCTCATTGGCAGAATACATACTCCCGCGAGATTGCACATTGCATATTCAGAAATTACAAAAAAGGCCAGTATCGTGTGGGTTGTTTTTCATTTTTATTCTTGTTTGTTGTGACAACGAGATAAACGTGTTGTGCAACCGGTGGGGTACATTCTACATTGTATTTTATGCCCTTGTGTCTTGTGCATCGTGCATTGTGTTTTGCTTGGTTATTGTCGTTGTATTTTTTCATTTACGTAATTCCATTTTTTCGCTGTTTCTAAAAGTTGCTCAAGTGAAAATGAAATATTTACTTTTTTCCCCAAAAGGGTGCGCATAAATTTGCATATCTGTCGACATTTCACCTCGCCAACTACCTTCTCACATATATTTAGCTGAGTTAATGTCTAGTTGCTAATATCCGCTTGGCGCATTGTTTTCAGCTTACGGAACGCCATCTATATTCTTTTCTGACACGGGAGATGCTTAAGTGAAAAACAATACGTTTTACTCACTTAGATTCATTCATTGTTTAATAAACTTGAACAGTTTTCTATTTCTCACGCTTTCAAAATTTTGCATATCTGTACGCGCAGTAGCTAAATAACAACAGTTCAATATATCTCTATTTGTTAAATTTTCTCTGACAATACATGTCCCGCGTGCTTGGGGGCTTTGGCTCCTTTTCCTGTAGCACAATGCTCGTACCAGATTTACACGGCAAAAATCACGTGCAGCATTGGCGTTTCTTTACACGTGACCGGAAGAAAGGGGATATCTTGGTTTTCAAATATCGAGTTTGATTTGATCTGTGCGGGATCTGATCAAACCGTAATTGATTATTATGTGATTTAAACAATGTACCCTTGCAAATCCTCAACATTTCCTGTCGCGTGCACGCAGCCCGCCTTTCCCTGAATGTATGCGGGTGATATTGTGCCCAGCCTTTTCACCCATCCTTTCCTCCCAACTTTTATTATTGTTTTTGCAAAGAAACGACAGCCACACAAAAGCAAAATATGAAAAAACTGGCCATATTCACTTGTTTTTTGGGCGCTTTCCCTGCAAAGAAAACGGTGACATCACATCGTGTGTTGTCATCAGTCCTTTACAATTTTAGGTTAGTTTTACTAAGGCAGGGTGTTTGAGTTGACCACAACATCGTGGTTGTAAGTGAACACAATATATCCGCCACCGCTGCAGTTGTTATTCTTGTTTTCCTTTTCGGGTTTTATTATTAATATTCCATAGCTTTAGGTTCACCCCTTTGTCCCTTTGTGCAATGTGTACTTGGCAAGGCAAGGGGTTGAAATTTATTATTCCTTTGGGGGTGTTAATTCCTGATTGTTTTGCATTTCACCACACTTTGTATCGAGCAACCTGTTTTTAAAAAGTGCATCGAAATCGAAGAGATAAATATAGGCAGATATATCAGCTTTGTGGGTGAATAGGTTGTTTCAAAATCTGTCAACTCAAAATAATGAATACTTGTACTTGTTTTTACATTATCCGTTGTTTTTTATTTCATATTTTATATTTGTACTCTTTTATATACTTACCAAATTTCAATTCAATTCACTTGTCTATTTATTTTTATTTTACACACTTTCTACACAAATACACAAACACACAAATGAGCGAGTTTCTTGTCGGAGTTTGCATGACATACAACCAGCCAGAAGACGACCGGTTTAACGCAGCAGAGTTCCCCTTTGACCTTATAGGGTCTTACCGGTCAGAGCACGACATCCCACAGTACACCTTCGAACTTGAGCTGAAGGTCCAACGTGAAGTGTATGAGTTCAAGCGCGAAATGAACCTACACGCTATGCATTTGGAGCAACAGCGGTTGGCTGCCAAACAGGCATCAATGACAGTAACTTTGCCACAACAGAACCAGCAGCAGCAACAACGGTTGCAGTTGCAGCAGCAGCAGACAGTGGCTCCGGCAACTAAAATAACAATTGCAGAGGCCATAGGCGCCAAGACTTTATCAGCGAAATTAACAGCGACACCGGCCAAATCGACAAAGGCCGCGGCGCCAGGCAGAATCACATCTATAGCGGCAGCCTCGAGCATTCCTCCAATGCTTTACTCACACACTG